ACGGGCTCGAAGCGCAGCCTCGCGATCAGCTTGCATGCGTGCGTTTGAAGGAGCCCTGGGACACACAAAGAAATACACACAAATTACCCCAGTGCGACCATACCCAGAAGTTGGAACCCCTAGGAAAGCAGCATTAGTTGCTATGCTATGCTATGCTATGCTATGCTATGCCATGTTATAGGCTAAGCTAGGATGAGATAAGCAACGCTAAGCTAAGGGGACGTGACTGGGGGAACCGCGGGGTGGATACTGGGGGAACCGCCCGGGCCGGTTCCCACTGCCCGGCCCTTCAAGCCAAGAGAATAAGAACACTTCTATGCAGAGCCTAGGTAGGGAATAGAAATATTCCCCATATTTTCCCATATTTTCTTGGGAATGGACGATGAATTGTGTCTGTGTGTCTGTTCCCCTCCTGAGCGTTGTCTGTCAGCCAGGTTCTGCCCGTCGCCAGGCACTGCTCTGCGGGCGCTGCGTCGGCCACCGGCACGCGCAGCACAGGAAGTATCGTAGGCTGGGGGCGAGATGGGAGGAGAGGTCGGTTGGCTCAGCAGCGCTTTGTGGGCCCCGGAAACGGCAGGGCCGTTTTTTCACCGTTTTCAAAAAAATGACCATTGAAAATGGAAACGGCAAAAAAACGGCAACCAGAAACGGCAAAAAAACTGCTCCAGGATCGGAAATGAACCCGGAACCGGTCAAAAAACGGCGACGGAACCTGCAAAAAAAAGCGTCGGCACAGGCAAAAAAACGGCAAAACGGAACCGGTAAAAAAACGGCCCTGTCGTTTCCAGGGCCCACTAAGCAGCAGCGTGATTTGGCGGCGCGCACAAGGGGGTGGGGGGAGGGGGGAGGGCTTCTTAGAAGCAGGCTGATTCTAAAGGAGTGGGCGGGGGGGCCGCGTTTCCGGCCCTAATCTTATAGATAAGGCCCGACCTTTTCTATTCTAAGAAGCAGAAGTTGCTTATAAGAAGCCATCCCCCTCCCCCCTCCCCATCTGCGCGTGGCTGAGAATGGAGTTAGAGGTCGGTAGGCTCAAGCAGCGTGATGCAGATTCGTCTGCAAAGACTTTTGAGCAGGGACCGACCGTCCCGGCATTCCTAAAGTCCTACCACGAAATGCTCTTAGAACCTAAAAATGTTCTAAGAACAATACAATGCTCTTAGAACATAAACCCGATGTGATAACACAATTCTAAGAAGCAGAAGTGCTTCTAAGAAGCCATCCCCCCTCCCCCCTCCCCCCTCTGCGCGTGGCTGAGAGATGGGAGTAGAGGTCGGTTGGCTCAGCAGCGTGATGCAGATTCGTCTGCAAAGACTTTTGAGCAGGGACCGACCGTCCTGGCACTTCTATAGTCCTACCACGAAATGCTCTTAGAACCAGGAGATGTTCTAAGAACAAAACAGTGTTCTTAGAACTTGAGCCTTGTACCTTAAAACAAGACAGACTCCGCCAGAAATGTTCTAAGAACATTTCGCGGAAACCACAAAAGGTTCTTAGAACATTGTTTGGTAGGGCTATAGGCAAGCCAGGACGCTTCGCCACTGCTTGAGACTTGGCCAAGCCCAATTGCTCCTCTGCCGGCTATCGTGATCGCTAATGCGCGGAACGATCCACTGCAATCGTGGCGGCATGGGCCTCGCACTGGTCGTGCGCCAAGTGGTGACTGGCAGGCTGTGAAGACTTGGCGAACTATTCCGAAATTTCGCGAAGTCGAGGATGTCAGCATTGCAAGTCGCAGTGCTGAACGATGCGAGGTCCATGGCGATCGTGGCGGCATGTGCCTCGAACTGGTCGTGAGCAAGTAGTGGCCGGCAGGATGTAAAGACTTGGCGAATCGTTCCGAACCATCGCGAAGTCGAGGATGCGGGTATCGCGAGTCGCAGTGCTTTGCCATGCTGGGTCAAGGCTGTCCTTGAGAATTGTGGCAATAATATGGCACGTCTGGGGTGGGCAGCGTTTCTGGGGGGCGGCGCGCCATTGTACAGTGACTGGCCCTTTGTCTCTGAGGGGGAGAAGAGAGAGGAGAATGAGAAGAAGAGAAGGAGGACAAGAAGGAGGAGGAGGAAATGATGGGTTTCGCTCAGGCTCCGCTGTCCAGTAGTTGGTGTTTTATCGCTGAGGGGGGGGTTCTCGTCGGCCGAAAATGCATATGTGGAACGTTGGCGCCCGCAGAACTGGGACACCGCAGGGTGCTTTGGCATACTGGCCACGGGAGTATGGGTCCGAGGACGTAAGCGTGGCAGCGGGACTGTATTGAAGCGAGCGAGCGTCGATACCGTGACAAAAGCCAATTGCATGCGGTTCGCGGTGGGTTTTTGTTCATGCGCACAGAAACCTACAATGTACCTCCTCTGGTGCAGAAGAAACAGATGGCAGGCGACTTGTCTGTGGAGCCTGGCTTCCAATGAGTCGTTGACCGACTTGACGACATGTGACCTTGAAGCGGCCCAGTCATGCTGGTGCGTGCGAAGTGGCTGCCTCACAAGACGACCCTCCGACTGCCGCACAAGCGCGTGCGGATCAGTCCAGATGGCCCCCCAGTGTCAGCGTGGAGGTGCCGGCGCAGTCCTCGACAAGCTTGTCCGCTGCGATGTCTGCGTGCACCGCGAGGACAGCGAAGCCGCTGCTGGCGGCAGTGCCTTCAGTGAAGGTCCGATGTTCCAGATCGTCGGGCACCCTGAAGAGAACCCCTCCTCCTCCTCCTCCTCCTCCTCCTCCTCCTCCTCCTCCTCCTCCCCCCCCTCCTCCTCCTCCTCCTCCTCCTCCTCCTCCTCCTCCTCCTCCTCCCCCTCCCTCTCCCCCTCCCCCTCCCCCTCCTCCTCCCCCTCCTCCTCCTCCTCCTCCTCCTCCTCCTCCTCCTCCTCCTCCTCCTCCTCCTCGAACCGGATGACGCCAAGGGCAAGGCGAAACAGCGGGGGGGTTAGCGTCGCATCGGGTCGGCAGCCGCGTCGCGGTCCGCTTCTGGTTTGGACAGGAGGAAGCAGAGGCCGTCCAGGTCCGAGCTCGCACACGCGGCGCAGAGTGAACGAGAGCACAGGGCGCCTGCACCAGCTTCGCCGTCACGAGGGAGTTCCTCCTCGACACGTTGCTGGTGAATGAACGACGGCATCCAAGATGTGGTTGGCTGTGGCCGCTGACATGGTGGGATATCCGGCCCGAATGATTGGTCCAGGAGCCCGCCTAGCAGGCTTAGGTGAATCACTGAGGACAGAACACGGAGGAGCGAGGAGAAGAGAAGGATCACAAAAACGGACCCAAGAGGGCACAGGGAGGGTGGACCCAAGAGGGCACAGGGAGGGTGGAGGAGGAAAGCAGGACGGAGGAGGGAGGGCGAAGGATAAAGGGGGGAGAGGGAAGCGGGGAGAACGAAGGAAGGACAAAGGGAGGGAGGGAGGATGGGGGACGGAGGACAGAAGAGGAGGGAGGGATCGGGCTGGGCGAAAGGGGGGGATAGCAAAGGGGGGGTTTAGGAATCAGCTCACGTAGCTGATTTTCCCGGCGCCTCCCGGCGCAGGAGGCGGCTATGTATCGAGGAATGGGCTCCTCGGTGAGGCCGAAACCAGCTGCATGCAGCAATTTTCGTAACCCCCCCTTTCCCAATCCCCCCCTTTCACCCGGCCCGAAGGGAGGGAGGGAGGGAGGGAGGAAGGAAGAGGAGGACGGAAGCCGGAGAAGCGGGTGGAGAAGACGCCGAGCCTCCAGGGCCTTCCGCTTCAGGGACTGCCAGTTCACGCGCGTGCCTCGCCGGGGGCGGCAGAGGTGGTGGGGAGCGCGAGAGGAACCTCAGCCAGCCCAAAAACTGCAGCATCCTGTCTCGAACGTCCGAGCAGATTCCTGGGATCTGCGCTGGACCTCCCTCCCTGGTGCGTGGAGCGCGCAGGGGGGCGGCGCCGGAGGCGCCGCAAGGGGGGGCCCAAATGCCGATCCAAGAGATATCCGCGCGGAGCTCCGAGCGAAAAAAAGAGCTGGTAGGCAAACGAACCGCAATGGCACTTTCTGCAACACGCTGCAAGGATATCTTCCCTTTCGAAGACGCCCCAAACTGTTGGGCACAGGTACACGAAGCAGACGACGTCAGAGGAAGCGAATGCTTCGGATAGGTCCGTCGAAGTCTAAGGTCATGACGAATTCGTAGATCCTGGCGCTCTGAGCCTAGCAACATCTGAACCATACACATGTGATTGCGTGCGCGAGTGGATATGCACACGTGTGTACGCTTGCGAAACGGGAAATTCGAGCGAGCACGTGCAACAATCCGTTTGCGATTGGTTTGGCGCCCCTTGGCCCCGCGTAGACTTGCTTGGAGAGCTTCGGATCCTCCCACCCATCCACCCGGAACTCCTTGACAAAACGCAGCTGACGCAATGACGCGAAGACCCTTCTCATGCAGATCCACGCCACGTCCCAACTTGAAGCTGTTCTGCCATATGCTCTGTGGCCAGAGCGCTCGCAATGCCTGTGCCGTAGATCGGAGCTCTTGCTCCGCTCCCAATGTGAGTTCGATGGTATTGCTGTTGATCGTGATCTCGGCCTGCGCAGTGACGTGGTTCAGCGCTCTATAGGCGCGACTCTAACAACAGAGCCAAGACGTCTTCCGCAAGAAACCATGGAGCTCACTCCTGGCATGCCGCCAGCGACCTGCAGTGTCTTGAATGCAGCACTTCGCGTCCTAGCCTCGGCGCTTGCACGGCGTGATGATGACCCCGTTGGAACGCGTGGACCCCGAACATCGGGGGCGACGATAAGGGCGGCGGGCATCACACGCATTCGCCCAGGAGCCTTTTTTCGAAGACGTAGATCATCGGCGCACCTGAATACATGTACTCTATTGCTCCCCCTTGGGCTATTCGCCCCTGCCGTCGCCTCCGATGAATGCAGCGTTTCGCGCCTTAGCCTCGGCGCTTCCCAGTCCAACATAGAGCACGACGGCGCGTGATGACAACCAGGTTTGCCGGCGGGAACCCCCGGACAGGAAGCTGCCGCCCCGTGGACGTGCAAGCCGCGTGGTGCAGGCTGTGCGGCACAAGCTGTGGGGCGGAAGCTGTGGAAGTATGTGGGCAGATTTGGAAAATTATGGATTTGTTTGTGTGCGTGCGTGTGTTAATCTGGGTGTTCGCAACGGCCGCCCACCGCGCTCTGGCCCTGCGCGCCTGGTTGCTGCCCCCCCCTCCTGGCCGCTCATCGTCGAACTCGTTGGCGTCTGCGCCTCCCTTCTTCCTCTCGGCCGTCCCCCCTATCTCTTTGCCCGCCGGCCAATTCGCTAGTTGGTGTCCCTATATAGCTTCTCGCTGGAGCGGAGTTCGCCGCCTCGCCGCCGACGAACAAAAAATTACACCAAAGAAATGATTCACTGCGTGGAGCTCCCCGTATGTGCATCTATTCGCATGGACCTGTCCGCCGTGAATGTCTAGGCGCAAGAGCTTTCGAATATAAACGGGCTTCAGTTGCGACGGTCTGGTCATGAATCTAACTGCGAATGAATTGGGGTGTGAATGAGCCTCAGTAGTACGAGCGCGTCTCTGCGCATGAGCCTGGGGCCTCCTGGGGCCTCCTGAAACCTACTGGGGCTTCGTGGGGCCTCCAGGAGCCTCTTGGGGTCTCCTGCGACCTCCAAGGGAGGCTTCGTGCCCCAGGAGAGGCCCAATCTATAGCAACCGACGTACATAAAACATTGCGGATTGGAGCCACAGGAGAAGGGCAATCTATAGGAACACACGTAAAGCACCAAGGACTCGTGCCCCAGGAGAGGCCCAACATATAGGAGCATAAGTAAAACATTTAGGGTTGCGTTCACAGGAGAAGGACAATCGATATAAACATACGAATAACGTGAAGGATTCGTGCTCCAGGTGAGGCCCAATCTATAGGAGCATACGTAAAACACATAGGATTGGAGCCACTCCTGTTGCCTTCTGAGGCCTCCTGCTCCTGGGGCCTCTCGGGGCCTTATGTTGCCTTCCGAAGTCTCCTGGCGCTTCCTGTGGCCTCCTGGGGCCTCCTATGGCTTCCTGAAGCCTCCTGGAGCTTCCCGGGGCCTCCTGGAGCATCTTGGGACATCTTGTGGCCTCTTGCCCCGCAAAACGGCCGCGAACGGGACCGTGTCATACCCCTCGGCGGCTCCCCTTGGAGGCGTGAAAATGAGCGCCTCGCTCGAGACATCCTGCAAATCTGCTCCGAACGCGAAAGATGTTGGGCCAGAAAACAAGCAAACCGCCTGAGACATCCCCACAAAACGGCCGCGAACGGGACCGTGTCATACCCTTCGGCGGCTCCCCTTAGGAAGAACAACTATGAGAACCTCAATAAGGATTCTGGCCTACCCGGGGCACCAGCGACGCACCATTCTTAGTGCGAAGACTCATTGATGCTGCTGTGGAGGACAAACATGGGAAACTCTTCTTGCTGTTGCTAGACTGTAGCAAATGGAGCAAAGCATTCGATCGTATAAAACCAGCGGCGTTACTATTCGCACTCAGCCACTTTCGAGTACCACCCACCATGCTGTTCATGATTGCCGCGATCTATAACGTGCGCACGTTTGTCGTCAAATATGGGGCTACCACATCATCGCAAAGACTCAACAAGCTGGAATTGCACAAGGTTGTCCTTTATCTCCTTACCTGTTCGTAGTCGTTACGTCGGTGCTCCTTGAGGCCGTCGGCAAGCGCTTCCCCGCGCCACCGGGCACCTTCAAGAACAAGCCGTATGTGGTCACGAATGACGTGCTCTACGCCGACGACACGCTGCTCGTGGCACAGTGTCCGGAGTCACTTCAGAGACATTTCCATATCGTGCCAAACATTGGGACAACTTTCGGGCTCGACCTGAACGCTGGCAAAGCATTACTATTGGAAATCAGATCGGATGCTACAGTTGTGGGGCTGACTGGAGAAGAAATTCAGTATAAAGACAGGGGTGTTTATCTTGGTGGCCACTTACGCGCAGATGGTCGGCCCGAGGCTGAGATTACGCGCTGTCTAGGAGAAGCAGAAGGGGCATTCGACAAATTATGTACGGCCTGGAACCACGCAGACATTACCAAATAACACAATCTACGAATACTGCAAGCTTGCGTCTTCTCCATATTATTGTATGGGCTGGACTATTGCGTGGTATTGCAAGCAGACAGAAAGAAGAGACTCGATGGATTTCAAGCCAAATCCTTTCGCAAAGCATTGCAGATTCAGCTGGCATTCTTATCCCAGCGATGAGCGCGTTCGGCTTGAAGCACAATTCTCTCAACTGTCAACTACCGTATTAGAGAGGCAGCGTAAATACGATGGTAAAGTAGCAAGGTCACATTCGCAATCGCTGCCGAAAGCAATGGTTTTCCAGACAGGCGATGCGCACTCTTGGATGCCACGGGAATGGAGGTCCCTGGAGAACCGAGGCGGACCGCGCCTGCAGTGGACCAGCTACAGGCACGCCCGCGCGCTGAGTCGCAGGAGACGACCCCGACCGCCTGCAGATTGCATGTTGTAAGCGACCCGCCCTCCATCTGTGAATATGTTGCCACCTTTGAAGCTTCAGGGTCGCAATTGGTGAGGAATCTCTGGCGAAACGCCCGGCCGGCCCTTTCGACCGGCCTCGGGGTGTGAGAGGGAGGAGTTATGTACCAGGACCAGGGATGGAGGAGGGGGAGGAGGAGGAGGAGGAGGAGGAGGAGGAGGAGGACAACGAGGAAAACGAGGGGGAGAGTTCTTCCCCACGGGAATGGGCTGCAGCTGCCAGGGAATGTTGTAAACACTCAGTGTGGCTGCGATGCGTCTCCTCGCTCTGCCCATTCGCCTCCCTCCTCCCTCTCCCCTCCCCGAGGCGGAGGAGGAGGAGGAGGAGGAGGAGGAGGCGGAGGAGAGAGGAGGAGGAGGAGGGGGAGGAGGAGGAGGAGGAGGCGGAGGAGGAGGAGGAGGAGGAGGAGGAGGGGGAGGAGGATAGGAGGAGGAGGAGGGGGAGAAGCAGGAGGAGGGGGGAGGGGGGGGGAGTGTTGCTGCTTACCCTCGCGCGCCATTTGCGCAAAAGCTTACAAGTGGTCGCCGGCCGAGGCTCGGCGACGCCTTCCTCGTAGGCATGCGCACATCTCCTGCCGGTGCGCTCTCCGGGCGCGGCTCTGTGCTGTTGTGTTGGAGTGTCCTGAGGTGCTCCGTCCGATGGTGTTTCGATGGTGCCCCGATGGTGTTCCGATGCTGCCCCAATGGCCTCACCAGCATCGTCATCACGCATCGTCGCCAACTCGTGAGCGCGTCACCAGCAACGTCACCATCACAATCGTCGAAGCTGTCACCAGTTCCCCCTTAGCACCCGAAGGGTGGTCGTACAGGTCTTGCACCAAGGCTCTTGAACCTGCCTGGTCTGCCTGGGCCGCCACTCCACACTGGGGGAAGTCGACTCCCGCTAGTGCGGGAAATGTCCACGAGGACCCCCTTTCGCCTTTCTGGACTCCCGGGGGCCCACGATAGCACAAGCAGCCTCCGAGATGGCCCCTGGATGGCCCCAGAGGCCCCCCGGGACGGCCCCAAGCCGGCCCAAGAGGACCCCAAGATGGCCCAGAGAGGCCCCCCAAGGCGTCGCAAGAGGCCCCCCAGACGGCCCAAGAGGACCCCAAGAGAGCCACAAGGCGGCCCCGAGAGGCCCCCAGTACGGCCTCCGATGGGCCAGACGGCGCAAAATCGCCCCAAGATGGCCCAAGAGGCTCCCAGGAGGCCCCAAGAGGCCGCAAAGAGGCCCTCAAGAGGTCCCAAAACGGCCCCAAGAAACCACCACGGCCCGCGGACTTGTCTGCGAATGGCGCGCTGTTGCTATGATCATCGGAGTTTGACCTTGGCGTCGCCTTGTACTGACACGCGGTGAATGCTCATTTCTGGACGCCCGAAATGGGTACGGAAAGAATGGGTACCATGCCCAACATCAAATGTTGTCCCAAACCAACAGCGGCCGCTGTTGGGCAGGCGGCCTTCTGTCTCGAACGGAGACAGGCCGCGGCAGCATGGACAGCGAGACCTGTGCAAAATGAACAGGATCCGCTGTTGGGCATTGTACCCATTATTTCCGTGCCCGTTTCGTTCGTGCAGATCATACCCATAGCACCATACCCATACCCATAGGACGATCGGAGAGGGCTATGGGTGCGTGTTGTCGGATGGGGGCCCCCGCTCGAGCGGGAGCGTTCCCCAGGATCCGACAACCCGCACCCGTACCCATAGCCAGTCCTCGTCCCAACGACCCCCCTATGGGTATGGGTGCGTGTTGTCCGTTCGTCATCATTGCCCTCGTGGGCATTCGCACGCTCGTCCCGGCGCGGAGGCGGGGGGGAGGCGGGCCCGCCCCCCGTGGCGCCGGCAGCGCCCTGGGACGGGCAGAAGGGCGCGGCAGAGCAGCGTGGCAGACGAGCAGGGCAAACCACCCAACGCCCGGTCTTTACGTGCTCTGGACGTGCACCCCGCGAAGCGAGAGGAATGGTACAATCACAAGGTGAAAGAAAGACGGGGAAAGAGAACGAAAGAGAGAGAGAGAGGGAGAGAGAGAAAGAGAGACGGATGACAATTTGCAGTACGAGTCAGAAGCAACAAGGAGGAAGGGAGAGAGGGATACTGATACTGTAAGATGAGGAGTTGCAACATACTATGCATGATAGCACAATAGACGATAAGAAAAATACAGAGAGGGAGAGAGAGAGAGAGAGAGAGACAGGGAGAGACAAGCGAGAGAGAGAGAGAGACAAGCGAGAGAGGAGAGAGAGACGACAGAGAGAGAAAGATAAAGACAGAGAGAGCGAGCGACGGGGAGCGGCAGCACGGATGGCAACACGGCGCCTAAGTTCTCCACCTGGACCCAGCGCCGCACCATGCCCTCCACCGCCCAATCCGCGCGAGGCGCCCGGCCCGCGACGACTAACAAGTCTGCGGCGCGCGCTGCCGCGACGCCCGCGGCCCGCCGCCAGGGGGCCCGAGGAGGCCAGCACCCACCCACCTCCTCCTCCTCCTCCTCCTCCTCCTCCTCCTCCTTC